GCAAACACACATTGTATGTTTTACCCAAAGACTCCAGACCGGCCCTACTGAAAATTCTGGTGTTATCAATAAATACTACTCTCATAAATAAGCACAACTTAATACAGACAGACGCAGGCATATGTTCATAGGTTTACATACATGGATATACACAGAAACAGGTGTGTTTCATTTAATAGGGAAGGAAACCAGACATGAGCTCAGTGATTGAGGTGAGAACCAAGCCTATGGATGACAGCCCAAGGTCCTGGGGATTAAACACTTGAGTTCATATGAAGAAAGACGATTCCCATGTGTGAAATTGTGATTTACATTGCAGCGGCAACAACTGTAAAGCTTTCTGCAGAGTTCCCCAGAGTGAATGCTTGAGGATAACACTGTCCACAGCACTTTTATTGGTAAAGACAATTTCTCACATGATAAATTCAGTCTTGACTTTGGGGGTGTGTCTATATGTGCATGTTCGAAAGAGAAAACTGTAAAATGTATTGTATTCCCCCCCCCCAAAGTAAAGATTGTTGGAATTAATGTAGAACAGTGCCATCACAACCTGATTCGGCCCCTTACTTTTCCTAAAGGTCCAGTGTGTAACATTTAAGAGGATCTATTGGCAGAGATTGAATATAATATTCATAAGTATGTTTTCATTTGTGTATAATCACCTAAAAATAAGAATGATTGAGTTTTTGTTACCTTAGCATGAGCCGTTTTTATTTACAGAGGGAGCAGGTCCTCCCTACAGAGGCTGCCATGAACGCCCAGAACAGACAAACCAAACACTGACTTTGGATAGAACCTTTCATTTTTTTTTCCATTGGGAGAGTGAGGTGAGGAGGTAGTACTCTCCAACTTTGCTAGATGCCACTAAATCCTACACACTGATCCTTTCAATGGGAGAAATTCCTCCATTCTGCTGACATCATTAGTTGTCTCATTACAGATCTACAACCTCCACTACAACAGGATCCAGTTTTAGGCACTGTCCATAATCACTCTACTATAAAGTGCTCTGAAAACAACCAGACTCCCTTAGTGAGGACCAGATGGTTTCTGTCCTCACACTGTTATGTGCCTGTGCTCTCTTAATTTCATGCAGACCCATGCACCAATTTAACCAAAGCAAAGCGTAATCCAAAGCTTAATAGAGTGAGACAGAATGGCATTCACAAGCAGGGGTAAATACAACTATTACAGAGCAGGCTCCAGTGTCTCAGCACATGCTTGGGCTGTGTCCAGGCTGTTTATTACCTCACACTGTCAACACCACAGCCTTGGTGTCAGTGGCTGACATACATTTCCATAGACGGTGCCTTCTGTCTCCTATCAGAGATTGGAAGCAGGTGGCTGGTCGGCCCCCACAGCACACAGTGGGCTCTACCACCACAACTTGGCAGGGTTACTAAAGAGAGTAACGTTCAAGAGGCCAGTCCCTGATGAGTGCTGAAAAGACGGGAGAGGGAGCAGAGCACAGATTCTCACTTGAACTATTACCAGAGCCAGACTTTTCTTTAAAATTGCTCTCAGTGTACATTTTCCTTCTTCTGAAGTCTAGTTGGAGTGAATTGTGCTGAAAAGGTGAGGCTGATAAGTTGTCTCTGCAGCAACCCCTCACATCCTGCATCCTTACTGTATGATTTAGTATCAGAAGAGTTAGTAACGATAGTGAATGATTATTTGCCATACACATAGTGATCCAAAATAATATTTATTTTTCAGTAAAAACCTAATTTCATCTACTAATTTGCAGTTTAGGCTGAGCATCCTGTGCCATTTCCACCTCAAAAAGAAACCCATTCTTTAAACCTGCAGTAAATGAGTGAGTTGTGTTTCTGTCAATCTGGCAAATGTAAATCCAATAATCCAATTTTGGCTCTGTTTTAGGTCTCTACCAACTCCAGAGTGAAATATCTGACTCTTAGGCTGCTAAGTGTTCCACTATGTTCATCAACTATTTGCTAACGTTTTCTGTGTGCCTTGTATGACGCTGGGTAGGTAGAGTAGCGGGTATTTAGGGGTTTTGCTGAAAAACACCTTGTTGTGGCTTGAAATGAGGTTGATGAGAGTGGTGAGAGTTAACCAAAAAAGTAAAGTAGCAGACCTGAAAGCAAGAAAAGACCCAGGTGAAAATGATCTGTGTTATGTGATTGATGGTTAAATGAAAATATAGATTATTGCTCCTTTAATTTCACCTTGCGACACACAAAAGCATCCGAGCAACACTGGCCGGGTGGCAGGGTGGAAAACAGACAGAAGCACAGGGAAGCCAAAAACGTACACGCTACAATACCACAGGCATTACATGCAGTAAGATCGAGAGCCCATGGGAAAGGATAAGAACACGCAGGAAACACAATATAATAAATCTGATGAAGCCTTGTGAAACATCTTCATGAATCTACAGAGGTCAACATCCCTGCCTCTTTCTACCGTATCTGCTTTTTCTCCATTATACTGTGCATGAATCACATACAGGACAGTCATAAGTCTGTCATTGTGGAATGCTAAAGCCCACAATGCAAATCTAATAATAAAAAGGAAACCCTGGTGACTCAGTGTGCACATACAGATAACCAGGTTCCCAGGTTGAGCTATTCCCTTGTGGTAATTATGTTATGCTGGAATGTGCAATACATACCTTATATCCATTGTACACACACATCCGTTTCCCTGATCTTACAGATAATTCTGTTCAACAAAGCCTTAACTTTTGATAATAAGATGTTAATAGTCAGATTTGTCAGAATTGTTCATGGTTTAATATTGCTGATGTAGGTTTATTTTGTGATCCTCTATCCATTTATATGCTTTCCAGTGAGCTTTAGCTTTGAAAGATCTAGCTCCCTTATATGGAAACAAAACAAGTTACACTTGAGGGTTCTTTCCTTTATGGGATGCAGTCAAGGCTGGACAATGGACCAGGCCAGTGGGGACAGTGCTACGGGCTCTGAGACTGCAAGGAGGCCTCTAAGCCTCGGGCCCCACATGGCACGTGGCCTAAGACTCCCAAATGAAGTTGAACGCCAGGGCACTCAGCACAAGCTGACCACTAGGCTCCTAGGTGCCAACAGTGTGAGTTAACCACTGAGGCCCCCAAGACCGCTCAGCACTTACAATGTGTGGGCCCCCAGGCCCCTTGGTGTTTAAATAGTGAGCTGGCCACCCCTGGCCCCTGGTGTATACATCAAACGTAGCCCCTGTGTGCCTTGGTACATACTAGGGTTGCATTTTCAGTAGTTTTTTATAGTAAGTTCTTATATTCTCACGTTTAAGATAATGCTAAAGGCCAGCAACATTGTGTGTGTTAACAAAAAGTCCTAGATCAAACTACCAGGGATGATTTTCACATTTACGTTCTCACCAGCTTTGTGTATTCCTGGTATTGTTTTAGCAGTTAAGGAACAAACCTCAACTGTTATTACTCTCTACAGAGCATTGTCATTGTCAAGTAACATATAGTAGTACGGACTATATAAGACTTTACAACTGAAATGCTCTAAAAAAGGCCTGTACTCAAACCCTTAAAATACAGGGTCATTGGTGTATATGCCTCTGCACTGACCAGAGGTCCAGGGAAGGAGCCTGGCTGAACACAGGAGCTTGGCTGCCTTTCTTATGGTATAATGATTTTGGCAGAGGAGTGAGGATAAGTCTGTCTCGAGAGATGCGAGAAGGAAAAACGTTTTACAAAAAGAGAGGAGCAAAATGAGATCACAGCACAGGATGTCTCTGATTATATCTAATATCTCTATCTGTTCCCAATCTGTCACTCTGATGTGTGAAAACCAAAGAGTCCATGTCAAAACAAACGCACGAGAGAGCTACCTCTAACAAACAACGACACTTTCCTGTGAAATGTCTAAGCAAGAGGAAGAACTGTTTAAAAGCCCTTGCAGGCAGACCCTTTCTCCTGGGAAAGTCAAGGAATCAAACGGGAAAGCCTTTGCGGTGTGTGTCTGTGTGTGTTTGTGTGGGGGGTAGGAACCAAATATCCTCTGTTCACCATTCTGTCTCAGCAGGACTCTTTCAAAACACTAACAACCATCCTCCTGTTTGCGTGTTGACGTAGACCGCAGGGGTTTGGACAGTAGAAAGAACAGACGCTGACGGTAACGAGACAATGCTCACAGGCAAGAGGGACAATCAGGTTTTGTTTACTGCTTACTGTAAGTGTTTACCATTTATTGACGACAGATCCCAGGCTCCCTCTCTCGGGGTCACTGTTCAGTTGCTCTGTAGGTGGAACTACCTTGTTTAGAAGTCTGAGCCTGAGGTTACTGGGGCATTTGTGTCCTCAATAAAGACCTCAAAGTCTTTAACAGAGAAATGTTTTTCATTTAATTAATTCTCAAGTTAGTAAGCTCTTAGTTTTTAAATACAACTCAGTAAGTGATAATAACTGATTACATCTTAAAGGAATTGTTTGAAATTTTGGGAAATTTGCTCACTTGCATTCTAGCGGATACTATACTACACTGGTACCGCTTGATATTTGTCACAACAAAAACAAATTTGAGTAATCGAACATATTAAAGAAATGTTGAACTACTATTCCTGAAATATTATTACATGTGACAAAATTTGTCCTATAAGCTTTTTTTTCTTCTTAATCATGTCAAACTACAACTGCATGCATACTCATTAGCATACAGTTTTTATGGAGTGTAGGCATAGCTAGGTTAGCTCCAGGCTTCAACCTTCAAAGGAAACCATTCCTCCCAGAGAGCACTTCTTCTACCTTTAACAACCCAGAGACCCCTGCAGAGCAGCCTCATCCAATCACAGCTACTACAGGCCCATTCTGCAGAGTAAAAGCATAACGTCTAACCTGGGCCTGTTAAAGCTTTTACAACATGTTGTCCTCTGAAGATGTAAGTCACTTCGGTGGTTCACAAAGCTGTGCTAGTTCATTGCTGTACACTGCATATGAACGCCTGCAATGCAAAGGAATGGAGGATGCACGTTTATTTAAAAAATTTTATCAGGTGGGAATGAAAACTCACCATATTGGCATCGTGTCCCTTTGAAGCCCATTGGACACTGACATATCTGGTCTCCAGTCTCTGCACATTGGCCTCCATTGAAACATGTATTTGCACCACACACCCCTGCAGGTACCACATATCATATATAATAATAAGGCTGCTGATATAATTTACATTTTCTCAGTTCAATTATTGTATTAATTTTCAAAATGATATATATAACAACTTCATAACAATATCAGAACTAGTCTTATTTAATATATATGTATGTAAAATCGTATCACTCACTATGCAGACAGCCCATCTCTTCACCCTTCTGAATCCAGCCAGGGCAGCACTTATAGACTGTGTTCATATGCATGCTGTACACCTGCCTGTACACTGTGTAGTATGCTGTCCTGAGGAGGAGACATTTTGTCATAGTCACATAAGAGGATTTTCTGGAAGTTACATTAGAGGTGTATTCATATTACTATATATTATTATATAATATAACATATCTATAAAGATGATATGTGCTGTATAGTTATTTCAACTTACTATAACATGAAGTAGATGACTTTAAGGCTATTATCTCAAAACCTACAGAGCAGTCTCTCTTCCCAGCCTCAGTCATTGCAGTCAAGCTTATAAATGGTAAAGACTTAGCAATGGCACTTGATCAGAAAAAATCAGACTTGTTCAGTGAGTCAATGTGTAAAACACTCCATCACGACTCAGCCTACTGCAGCTACAGCAGCACCTACCTACTGTGCTTCGTCTTCATGGTCAATGAAAAAGTATAATTTCTCTTACCTTCTCTCGTGGCCCATACACCATCTGTGGCTGGTGCAGCCCTGTTTCCACACCTTAACCGTGCGGGTGAAAGCCTGAACACAAGGCTGACGCCCACCCAGCATGGACATCTCCTGGTCAGCACAAACATTTGGCCTGTGCATGGAAAATCGAAAATATTGTTTTAAAATGAAAAACATCATATACTGTTATGATGACTTTCATTTTTGTTGTTCTGCACTATATGTTGAGGTAGTTAGTTGACTGAGTTGAGAGGAAAACTAAAGAGCTTCTGATGGTGGTCTCAGCATGCTGCAGAGTCAATGTATGTATTCCAACAGACATGAACTTCCACATGTTCTACACATGTTCAGTTGCATGAACATCAGCTCATCACACACACTGTCAAACAATTATACAGCTTCCTGATTGGTGCAATATGTGTAATTAAGATCCAGAAAAAAAAACTGCCCATGGTTTGGACACTGCCTACAGCATAGCATAAACAACCAATGAAATTCCACAGGAAATTAATTCAGTTTTTTTTTCTCCTCCTGAATTGTTTTTGCATGTTCATATATTCATATGCATGCATGCACTGATGTGTACATGCTCATTATACACCATCCGTCTGTGTTGTAAGTGCAGGTAAACTATGCAGAGGTGTCCTCCAAAATCCATCTGGCTTCAATAAACAGCAGCCTGAAGTTAATTAGAGGAAGTATTCGGCTTCTAATGAAAACTATTCCTTCAATCATGTCCAGCAAAGTCTATTTAAATTCGGGAACCTCTGGTAGAGTACTATACAATAAAAAAAACACCACATTCCATTGGAAGCTATTATGCAGATGCAAGTTACAGCAGTGCTATAAAAACACAGATCCATCCTCATAAGGGACCTGAAAGAGCGACTCCTAGTGGGCATTGAACGAAATAAACTATAAAGTAACCGAATTACAGACAAAGTTAAATAACTTGTAAAACTCGGGCTAACGGTGTTTTTAACATGTAGGCTATGGCACGTTGCTCCTGGTCTATTTAAGCATGTAAACTTAAAACGTTTTAATTCACCGGATTTATTATTCAATAAAACCTGAGCTAAGTGTGCAAATTAAAAACAGTACAAACTATCTAAATTACAACACATCACTTACATTCCAAGGTGCAGCTCCAGAGATGATGCGATGCGCATAGTGCTGAATAAAATCACACACAAAATATCTGGGAACATAATTTTGACCATTTCAGACACGGAGAGAAGTATTCAATCGGCGCAGCCTGTGTCCATCAAATGAAGAGCATCCTGACATGTATGGAAGTCCGCCTTAAGACATGACTCAGACGTTGATGTTTGTCTTGCACTAATATTCCTCCAGATCCAGGTTCCCGTTTACTGGTTAAGCAGAAGGACGACTTGTCTCATGTCAATCGCAGTCTTTGAATGGCTCCTAGTAAATGCACCACCCATAGTCTCTATGGGGCCACCTCCCAAAACCCCCCGCGACATTGACCTGTGTATATTATTAGCACATCCAGACATGTGTTTATATTACGTCTTGAATAAATTCATGATGTTTTGTTGTATCAAAGGGAATTCTTGCCAAAAGTTTTCTTATAAATATATCATATTGAGAAATTCTTCCACCCTTGTCAATGAAAAAAATAAACATCGTTGATTTTAATGCAGTCCAATAGTCACTACCACACAGACAGAATATCTATCTTTATTTTATATATTTGACATTAGATAGTAGATTAGATTAAGATCAACTTAATCAAGTCAAGTGTCACAGCAGCAAAGGTAAGTAAAAAACAGATGCAGTGTACAAATTATGCATAATAATAGTTGTAACAATAAAAACATAAATGTACCCCTACATAAAACTTTGTACTTTATGAATATTTACCACAATATGAGGCGTTAAAAAAAAAGTAAATACATGATATATACATACAATATGAAACATAAGAAATACTTCAGTAAAATACATATTTATTATTAATCGGTAAGTTCTATTGTTTCCACACCGACCCACAATATCAGTATATTCGGACTAAATAAAACAAAAATATCTGTTTCTGCTTTTAATTTCAGCGCTTGGTGCTTGCAACGTCACTTGGAGTGGTGATATTTCCGGTTTGTAGCAGACAGCGGAAGAAGAGAGGAGGTTCCTCTCTCGTATCAACACAGGGAGATGCTTGGCAGCTAGGTACTTCATCTGTAATACCTATACTGAACCGTGCCATTCGTAGTACATTTACAAGTTTTTATGTCCTTTAGGATTTGATTAAGAAAAGGCTTCTTCGGAGAGGTATCTGTCCTTAGCAACAAACCTAACGGTAAGAAACGAAACTAACGCGCGGGCTCGAAATGGCGCTAATGTGTTGTGTAGCTGTCTGACCAAAACTAACGTTAGCTTCAGGATCTCCCAGCAGTTACTGAAACCGCCAGGCTGGACACTATCACTTTACTAATGCTAGTTTAAAGTTAGCAATACAATAACAACTGTTATTATTAGCTTAGTATTAGCCACTTATACCATCGTTAATATTAGCATTGTGTTAGCATTCTTATCAAAGACTGTCCTATCCTGTAATGCGAGCAGAAGCAGCTGCAGCTCTGCAGTCAAACTAGTTCATGTAGCTCCTTTTGTGTCCGTCTGCAAAGTCAGAAGACCTGAGTTATCATCATATGATAGTGTCACGAGCAATTTGCATGTCTAACTCCTGCCTACAGCTCATCGGCTGCACCAGTATATTCCGAGGAGGTCCTTGAAGAGGAGTTTGTTTTGTGATCTGTGTGCAGCAGCAGCACCTTGATAAGGTATGCAGCATGTCAAGTTAAACAGAACTGAAAATGAATCACAGGGAGTTCTCACATTGGCATGTTCTCTGCCCTTTGTGACCTCTTTGTGGCTAACAATTAGCTCTGTGTTGCTGAACAAATCATTCCACACAGCCAAATGAACAGAGCAGCATTCCCTTCCCCCACGGCAGAGATGGCAGAGATGAACCGTATCCAGTATGAGCTGGAGTACACTGAAGGCATCAGCCAGAGGATGCGCATCCCTGAGATGCTCCAAGTGGGTTCTCAAGGCCGCGAGGACCCTAATGTTGGATCTCAGGAGGTCCCCCACAGTGTCATAATGCAAGTCCCAGAGAGAATTGTGATTACAGGTCAGTATACTGTTAAATGTAGGGCTGTGCTGTTCAAAGTCTTTCACTACATACAAACTCTTCACTGGTGTCTGTCGTAATCTAACTATTATGTGGCTTTGATATGGCCATTGACACATACTAGATTTGATACTCTATCAGTGGCTCAGGACTTTGCCCACCCTGCTCCTGATGGCCTATTTACTGATCAGCATTAGTATCATATCAATCATGTAAGAATGAAAATAAAAACACAACTGGGATGTAGGTTCACTGTATATGTGACAACTGCTAGAAGTCATTATTTAACTTGAGCATTCAAATCACAGCACATTGTTTAAATTGAGTGAAGTAGAAAATACATCAGTCTGTTACCTGAAACTCTTATTCACACTTCTTCTTCTTCTTTTATCAGGAGACAGTAATGACCCCCAGTTCCCAAGACCCAGAGACCTGGACCTTATCCAGTCAACGCCACTAGAAACGCTGTCGCTGAAGACTCCACCCAGAGTCCTCACCCTCAGTGACCAGCCCCTGGACTTCATGGAAGAGGAGCAGCGGGTTGCTCCAGACAGTGAGGAGGTGGTAAGTGATAACGCAATACATTTCATTAAGTAAGGACACTGCATAAAATCCTCATTGACTGAAATAATTTCTTTATAGCAAACCATAACCTGAATGTCATGTGTCATAATTCCTTGTAGATGCGTCCCCAAGGACGATTACGGCGGGAACGCTCAGCCAGTGAGAACACAGCTGCTCGTCATAACAGTCAGCTGGTGCGCAATGATTCTGCGTGAGTATTGGCCTGGATATTCCATCACTAGCTTGGTACCAGCTCCATCTTACCCACTTTACGTATGCACTAGCATGTTGCATCTTTTGTTTTGGTTCTGTTTTTTGTTTCTGCCCCCTGTCTTTGTGTCGTTGTAAACCAAGCTGCTGCTTTCAGTGTTTATGCAGAATTCAGCTGTTGCCCCTAATCCATTAACACCATTATTTTAAACGTTTGATGTACTAATCCGTTTTGATATGATCAATTATGGATTAAATGATTTCAGGATTACTGAACAGGTGAATAAACAAACTTAAAAACCACACTTCCCCTTTTAGCAACAGCAGGTGACAAAACACGATAGAAAAACATTAAAGGAAAGGGATGTAAATTCTTAATGGAAAGATATTCAGATGTTAAGCATACGCGGATTAGCTTTTCTTTAAATGTAGACCTACTTTACACAATGTGTGCTCTTTTTAGGTAGAAAATTATAAATATTAGATAGTGTTTGCATATATTATTAACAATTTTCTAATTCTGTGGCAAAAAAAATATGTTTTATGTCCTGATCTCTAACCTTAAAACAACTGTATGTGACGCCCTCGTACTGTTGATAAAATGTGTGACGTGAACTGTGAACAAGACAGCGGTCTCTGATTGGCTTTGCAGCACCTTTCGTTCACATCTCTTCCATTTCTGTGTTTGTTGGGTGAACTGTATGTTAGTAAAGCACTGTTTGTGGGTGGCAGTTTACGTCTTGCTGAGTCGCTACTATTGAAACATAACTTTTATTTACTTCAACTCGGTTGCAATTTTTACAAAGTCGGTAAAGTCGAGGACAGTTTCTTTTCCTTATTTCTCTCCCTTTCCTTCCTTTCTTTCCTCTGTTGTCTTTTTCTTCCCTTTCCCTCTGAATTGGCTGCTCTTAACGGTGGGCACTGAGCAGTGCAAGCCGGTCCCCCCCAGCCACTGTCCACCCTTGCCCCCCTCTCACCGTGACTGAAGAAGAACATAACCTGTACAGCGCTACTGGTGTTCTATCTTTCATCCAGTCCACTACACGTCGAGCTTACCAGCAAGTCCTGGAGGTCTTGGATGAAAACCCTCGCAGGTGACCTCCCAATCATCCGGTCATTTTTTGCTTTAAAAAATGTTGAAGATTTATTTAGGTATTGGTCAGAGAGGATAGTACTGTCTGTATCAGTTGTCTTTACTCATTCAAAGCCTCATTAAATCAGCTTTTATTTCTGGGTGGTGTTTCTGAAATATTGTTTGGCCTTTAGTTATGTTGGAAAGTTGGTGGTGTTTCTGTGGGAGGCGCAAGGACATTTTCTAACATCCATTCAGTAACAATGTTAATACAGCATGTATTAATCAAAATGTAAAATGTAGCCATTTTGCTTTGTGTACCTTTCCAATCTGAGAGTTTGATCCATTACCGCTAGACATATATCAGTCATGTAGTAACTATTCAGGTGAAAGTGGTGGGAGTTGACCAGCTTGTTTAAGTTCTTAAGTTAGTTAGGTTTGCCTAGGCCTCATCAACAATTTTAAATGTATCTAAATGTATTTATTTGATCCCCTTGAGGAAATGTGTTTCTTGTATCAGGAAAAACTGTAAACAAACAGACCATGTGCAGAGCATAACTAATATTTTTTCCCAGGCTTTATATGTGAGCAGAAAGAACCCTAATACTCACAGATTGTTTCAACCTTTGACTGTTTGGCCTTCCTGAGGAAGGCGTAAGGAGGAAGCAGAAAGGCCTTAAAATATTACCAGTGTGTATTCATACACTCTGCCCACTTCAGGAGTTTGATGGACAAAACTTCCCTTCACATTCTTAGCCACACGTCTGGTAGGGGCAAGGTTTCTGAAAATCAAGGTGTCAGAACAGAAATAAAATCTCATTTAAGAGCACTTGTGTTTTATATGAGACTGTCAAAGGCCTTGCACGCAACACTGTACCATGTGTATGCCGCGCTCTCTTATTTTTCCCTTCTCCCAACTCTGTCTTTCCCCCACCTTTTGTAGCAAACCGTCACTGCGAGGGGGGTCGGCTTCAAGCTCCAACCCCCTGCATGAATCCAGGTAACTTCACCTGGCTATCTTCATTCTGAACCTTTGTCCTGTTTTCCTCATCTTTTCCTACCTTCCATTCTCATTTCGGGTGGAGGAATAACATTAGATCATTGTAGAGTTAAGTTGCATGATATATCTAAAATGTGTGAAATAAGACACTCTGTGGTGGATTTCTGTAATTCTCAAAGTGAATGTTCTCTTTTAAAGGCTTGTATTATCCACATTTGAAGCCACACTAGACGGTGGGCCTGATGACATGACTGTAGTTGATGCAACAACACTTCGACGTCAGGTTAGTTATTAATAAATATACGATCTCCATTTTGTCATGTGAGACAGTTGTGGAACCCCTGTGACTGACAAAACTTTTTTTTTATTATTTAACTCCAGCTCATCAAATTGAACCGGAGACTCCAACATTTGGAGGAGGAGAACAAGGAGCGAGCAAAGCGAGAGATGATCCTGTACTCGGTCACCGTAGCTTTCTGGCTCGTCAACACCTGGGTGTGGTTGCGACGTTAAAACCAGCCTGTATTTATGCCATCACCGCGACAGAAGAACGTCCTATCCCTTATTCTACGTGTCAAATGTTAGCTACTCGCTGCACTCAGTCCCTGTATGAGGAAGACCTTGACGTGTGCGCACAAGGCCTGTTGCTCACAGGGCTGATATTTTTGATTTAGTTTATTTAATACATGTACAGTTTTATTTTTTTACTCTTATTTCATCCTGTCTCATGTTTTGTTTTTATTACAAATCATTTTGCTCGATGCTAAGCATGACTTCTTGTAAATATTTGTTCATGTCACTGAGAGCTTTGGAAAGACCTCCTCCAGAGATACAGTATAGCATATATAGGTAAATAGAGCTGCAGTGTGGAGATGTAACATGCTGAATATTTATTGCTGAGAGGGTAATATGTGACTGGAACTGGGAAATGTAATACAATTTAGTAAAATCATACATATAATGTGTTGTCCTGTATTTTTATTGATGCATTAAGTGAAATGCACACATCACTATAATTTTGCTGTTATGTGAAAAAGGAATATACCTCTCACATGAGGTATGAAATTGATTGATTTTTTTCCCCCATTTTTTATTTACACTGTTTACAATTTATAATCACAATTTCTTTTTACTGCTGCAGTTTCATTTTTCATACATGAATATAACTGTATTTTAATGTCTTGTTTGTTTAGAGGCACTGAAAACTGACTGAAAGTCAGTGTAGAGTACTGTACAGACGATTAAAATGATTCTAAACTGATCAGATTAAGTAAGATTTATTGCTTTCCACACAGCGTTACAATTGACTATATAAACAAAATGGCTTTAAAATTCTTTAACACAAATATGCTACACAATTAATTACCTTTCACTATGTTATCAGCTATATATATATATTTATATATATATTTTTTTTTAAAGCTGAGCCCTGATTGGGCTTTTAATGTTCTCTCACAGTCTTTTGCCTATCAGCATTAAGACATTTAATTTGAAGATGTGCCTGTGAGACTGTACTTCATCACATGCTTTTAACCTTGAAAGCATCATTCCAGCTCCTCAATCAGGCAGCGTGGTGGAGAGGAGGTTTGGTTAGTTTTGGACTTTCCCACTGGTTCACAAATGAGCGGCTCAAGGGCATCCCCATCCTCTGGATAAACCAATGATGAAGACCTTCTAGATTTGTCGCAGCCACTCATTAAGAACAAAGAATTTTGATCTGGACCAAAGGTGGGGTTGCCCTCACTCTGATTCCCAGTTGGTTCATCCTCATCACTTCCTCCTGATATGACCTCTATTTTTGGTTTGAACACTTGCTGAGAAGAGAACATTGCAGTGAAGTCTTCTGTGTCCACATCCTCTAAATCAGGCAGGTCATCAATACGCAGTGAGCGATGTGGTGGAAGGTAAATGGTTTCCAGCTCCTCTGCATCCTGCAGCTCTGTAACCAGTGGTCCAGGACCGTGTGTTGGTACAGACCCATAAACGTCAGGAGGAGCTGCCTTGACCAGAGAAGGCTCTTTCTTTTCAAACGTGTCACTCGTGTTTGCCTGCTCTCTCTCCGCTTCATTTATCGTGAACCTGATTCCACGTGACTGGTTTGGTGGTTTGTTGTCTTCTACGTCTTCTGTTTCTAATATCTTTCCTGTAATCATTTCCTGCTCTTGTGCTGGGAGCTCTGGATACACCCCTTCTTTCTCTTCTCTCACAGGCTGCTTTATCTGTGATTTGTCCAGGTCATCGTCTTCTGACTGCTCTCTCTGCAATCTTTGACCTGGCTGCTCTGCTTCTAGGAGTCCACTGTTTGGCTGATGTTCTTTGGGCCCCTGTGTAGATTGATGCTGCAAGAACTCCTCATGGGCATCTAGGCTGTCCTGCACAAAGGCTTGGATCTTCTCTCCTTGTGGAGAAGTCGAGATCTGGGTGTCATTTTCATCACATGGATCCTCCGCAGTGGTAGAAACCTCAGTCTCCCCTGAAATCAAACAGAGTGAACCATTTAAAGATGTCAATCCACATTTACTCTAGGCTAGTAAAAGCTGAAAATTGCCCACCTTTCTCCTGTAGCTCTCGAAGGCGCCGTCTCTCCTGGGCCTTCTTTCTGATCATCGCAATGCCGTCCAAGCTGTCCTGAATTTTCCTCCTCTCTCGTGTTTCCCATTGCTCCCTCTCTTTACGCTCCCCTTCCAACCCTCCAGTCGCCCACGCCTCTGCACATGCCCTGTCCTTGGGGAACACAGGGCGATCATCGAGGAAGGTGAGCTGCTTGAGGCGCACAATCAGGGTCTTCCTGTAGTTTGGGATTTTTTTCACCACCTCATTTCCCATTAGATTTAACACTCGCAGTTCTGGCATGGCCTCAAGCACAGGGAGGATCTCAGGGTTGTATAACAGATTGTGAGACATGTCCAGCACACTGATGGCCAGACACTGACTCAGATGCTCTATGTCCCCCACAGCCTCCAGCTTGTTATGGGCAATCTGCAGGGTGCTCAGGTCAGGAAGGCAGGAGATGTGCTCTATGATTTCAATGTAGTTGTTAGAGACATTCAGGGTGCAGAGCTTTTTCAGAGGTTCAAGGTTTTCCAGCTTGTGTATGAGGTTCTGCTGAAGGAACAAGCAGCGCAGGTCAGTCTGGGCATCCAGATTCTCAATGCGTTGAAGCCCATTGCTTTCCAGCCAGAGACACTTCAGTCCTGTGTACTCCTCTAAGTTCTCAATGGTGGAGAAACCCTTGAAATGCAGGTACAATGTGTCATTCAGGCAAGGTGTTGTGTAAAGTTTGTGTAGCTTACAGTGGTCTTTCAGGAATTCCTTTGTCATTCGTGGCAACGATGGTTTTCCCCTTTTCTCTTCAAGTGGGGTTTCCAGTTTTTTGTTATATTCCTGGTTTCCTTGGACACCATCCTTTATCGTGGCCTCCACTCCATTTTTGATAGAGCTTATTTCGGCATCTCCACATTCCATATGAGCTTTATCTCCCGTCGTTTCCTGGACTTCAGCAGTGGACATCGCCAAAAAAATTTTAAATTAACAAGCAGGAGGAATAAAAATAATATATACTTGTTTTGTTCTTGTAGTCTAGCCGTTTGTAAAAACGCGTAGTCCCGTAGATTTCACTCAGAGGTCCACTCTGTTGGCTAACGTTAGTTAACGTTTATGTCCGTTCCCATGGTAACGCTAGGGCATCACGATTGGGCCGGTCTGTGCAGGCCGGATGTTGTTTCTTGTACCGCGTCGGACCGTTTTTAGCTGTTGCACTCCGCCGTCAGTGGTCAACATGGCGTCCGGCTACATACTGAATCGTGGTGCGATAACATTAGGAATTCATTGTCAACGCGTGTGCAGAAACATAGCAGTATCGCAGGTTAGAGAGAAAAAGCGATGGATGAAAGCGTACACACACCTCATGGACCGGAAGTTAAAGCTGGAAGGACCTCCACCACCGAAACCACGGTGAGGCTAACGTTAGCTAACACAGGGCTTCACTAGAGAGCACCTCAAGGCCATCCATGGATTGGATATATATAACGTATATAACTCTGTGTGTTTATTCGTCTTTCCCGATTTGGCAGGCTTGATATAGAAAGTAGTATTTTTCGCATTACACACATTACCAATGCAGCTTTGTTTCGTAGCGTTTGTGTTGCTACTGTTTTTGCTCAGTTTTTAACAGGAACCCTGGTTCCTTCACACTAGTGGAGGGAAGTCTGCGCTTCTTATTGTCACCATTTTATATTTAAGAACTTTGTACTGATGGTGACATTGGCACCATCAGTTTTGCTTGTACAAAAGTATTAACTCTAGTGTAAGACTGTCTGCTCGGCTCAAACACAGTGCTGCACATGGGTATTTTTTCCATAACGCCAGTCAGAAGAAATAACATTTTACAACTTTTACAGCTAGAACCAGTTTGGATTATGTTTGTAGAGGAAGTCAGGACTCAGAGTAAACTCCGTGTTTGACTTTTTTTCAGCTGTCAACAGCCAAACTGGGATTACCACACTGAGGTTCAGGCTTTCAGCATCCGCCTACATGAGAACTTCTCCCTGGACCTACTGAAAATGGCCTTCATCAATCCCTGTTACCTGCAGGCGGAGCAAAAGAGGAGACAGGGGTTAGGTGTGGACTCTGAGGCCTCCGCTCTTGTTCTGAAGGATAATATTGAGCTGAGTAAAAAGGGAGCGGGTTTCACCAAAAGCTTCCTGACAGACTGGTGCAGGGCCAGTTTCCCGAGCCTGCCGAGCGAGGGGGTGGAGAGCATCGTAGGGCACCTCACCAGCTTAGCAGTTGTGGCCCATGTAGCAAGAAATCTCGGCATTGAAGACCTAACCATGAGTGCGGAATTCCCTGTTCCTGATGATGTGCTTCATTCCACGTTCATGGCGGTGATTGGAGCTCTGCAGGAGAGCAGTGGGGCAGAGAGAATGGGATTTTTCCTCCGGGTAAGAGGCTTGCTGCAGAGTATAAAGAGTACTAGATATTTTGTTTAAATAGACTATAATTGGTCTACCTTAAGTTGGCTTGTTGTTTATATAAAAGTTTATCTTTTCTTCTCCCCTACCTTCACCATCTGCCCTCTCCGTAGGATTTCCTGATCACTCAGCTGATAGGGAAGGACCTGTTTGATATGTGGACAGTTGTCAACCCCATGGGGCTACTGGTGGATGAGCTTACTAAGAGGAATGTTCCTCTGCCAGAGCCTCGCCTCATCAGGTCGGCTGGAGCCAGTACCGTCCTGCCGCTATACTTTGTTGGCTTATACAGGTGTGTGTGCTGTTGTAGGTGCTGTTACCAAAAGTACAGCAAATGATGATATTTTTTGTATTGTTTAATGTTTTTTGTATAATCTGCCTGTTTTACTTATATTACTTTTTGTATTTTGTTTACCCGTGTGTTAATTCAGCGACAAGAAGCTCCTGGCTCAGGGTCCAGGAGAGACACTCATAGCAGCCGAGGAAGAGGCGGCTCGTGTGGCCCTCCGGAAACTCTACGGCTACGCTGAGAACCGCAAACCTTTTGACTTCTCTCCACCACAACAGCATCAGCAGCCATTAATTCAATCAGTCAGCAGCAATTAATGAAGTGACGACTCTTATGCTATGGACTAAAGACTTGCTGTGGATTGTATGGGCAAAGTAAAGGAAAAGGTCACCGTGTACCTTAATTAACATTTGTCCCAACAGTGGTCAGTGTCAGGATGGTTTCTGTTGGGCATTTAAATGTCAGTTCCTCACTGTGGGTTAAGATCCACGGACAGAAGATGAATCTAAGCTTGTTTTTGAATAAATAGCATATTCAAGAGTAAAGTCCACTGGTCCCATAGCTTATGTTGAACCTAATGGTTCAGCAGTCCATGGCACAAAATACACATCATGTCTGGTTGTCCTTGTAAATAATACAAGTGCCATTTGGATCACTTTGGTTTCTGTTATAATATGTTGTTCATCTGTAATAAAAAGTAATAAAAATAAATGTGTACATTGTGACTTTGTGCATGCATATTTTTGGACCATCATGACTATTTCCTCACATATTATTGTGTATGCTCTTATGAGAGTTAATTTGTTGATATAAACATTTTCCTAACATTCAATGTGATATGTCAGGTCATTGCTTAAGGAATTAATGAAGGGTTTCCCTTCAAGTCAACAAATCATCTGTTTAAATGACAACTAACGCACACATCTACATGAAACCCAATTAAGACTTGTCCCTGGAAATGGTTTCCACCTGCTTAAGCCTAAATCAATAAGATTTTAGATTGAACTGGAACTCTGCAGAGGGCTTACCTGAAGAATCCTCACTCGTGGAAAAAAAGATTTGTTTTACAATGTCAAAATTTTCTTTAGTAACAAATCCACTGGCTTTTTTGTTTCATCTACATAACTTATTAAATCTGTTTTGTACCATTTTCTGAAATTAAAATGCTTTAGAAAGAAACACAACGCCACTCTCCCAGTATCCTTTGGACAGCCACACACAGTATTGCAGTGACGATGCTAATCCGCAGAGCGGCGCTGATGAGTTAAAGAAAGCCTAGTAACGGTCTGTGCACTGTCATGAGTACAACCAAAGATATCTCATTTAAGAGACAAGATAGTTACGGTCCTTTTTTTATTCTTCGGACTCCGCATTTTTCACCACATGCACTCTATTTACCGTAATGTTTCCAAACACAAAGGCATGACCTGATAACAACAGATAACTTAACATACAGTGATTTCTTTATTTTTTTTTACATTCATTAACTGATAACTGCAAGACGGTTTTGTCATAGATGCCCGTCAAAACTGCGCAGTACGCAGTACATACACGCTATTGCAGCAACATTATTATTGTGTATTTCAGCGTATACTGGTGCCTTAAATATAATTGGCTTAACAAACTAGAGAGGTAAGATAATTTGGTTCCAACAACTGGAAACGTAAGGAGTATAAAGACACCCATATATGGCCCTGACCCAAAAAGAGGCGGCGTAGTCAGCATAACGGGATTTAAACAAAGGCGGAAGTAGACAACAGGAAACATCTTGTTCCGTTAGTCAACCCGATCCAACGCCTCAAAGTCCTTGTTCAGGAGACGCGAGGCCCCCCTGACAACAGAGCCACCTACCCAATCCTCCTCTGTCTCTAGCACGGGTCGGCTACCGGTAGAAAAGCACAGCCCTTTGTTTTAGTTGTACGTTAGCTGACCCTCCAGTCTCCCCCGGTTTTATTTAATCCCGCGGTACATCCCTCACCATGGCGGCGAGTGCGAAACGAAAACAAGAAGAGAAACACCTGAAGATGCTGAGAGAAATGACGAGTTTGCCTCCCAACAGAAAGTGCTTTGACTGCGACCAGCGCGGCCCAACCTATGCAAATATGACCGTGGGCTCTTTCGTGTGTACCTCTTGCTCTGGCATCCTGTAAGTGTTCACTTGGAGTGACCTTAGCTTAGATATGGCGCACAATGATATAACGTTTTGGTACGCTTCAGCTAGTTACACACGGCAAGACAGTTAGCCAATTAGCGCTAGCTAACGTTAAGATGGGTTTCCAGTTGTGCCAGTGAGCTTAGCTGTTTTGACATTGTCTTGCTGTGCTGTGTTGGGCGGGGTACATAGAGGTGTCAGGGTTCCGCACAGCAAGCTAACGTAAGCAACCACCCTGCTAGCTGACTTTAGCTTCCAATGCTACATTTCTCTGACATTGCAAGCTAACTGTTAGGTGTACTGAAGAGCCAACTAGCCAGCTGCTGCTACCAGTTGCTGGCCACGTCTGGAAGCAGCAGCTTGTCACTGAGCTAACAGCTAATTGATTTGGTTATGGCGTACCCCACACAGACACAGACACATGAATACATATTTAAATCATCTGTTGGTCGAGGTTTCATGTTACATCCACGAAAATGTACTAACGTTATGTAGCTTATTGTTATATACTCACTGGAACCGTGCAGAGTCAATGTAGTCTTAAATTGCTAAATGTTAAGTGATGGTAGACACCGGGCGTGGGAAAGACGCATCATTTTGAAAATTGACTGACAATGCAATACATCAGTATTTATGCCATCATCAGTTGTATTGTTGTATTTTATTTAGAAGTGTAACACTACTCAGTTTCTCATAGATGTACACAGCTAGACTTTCACTGACTGCTGATCCTTTTGTGTGTATTCACTTATGTCAGTGCTTTACCTCCTATTTATTTATTTATTTAATTATTTATTTATTCTTATTTAGAGAGAAAAAAAACTGTTCACTGCATTGTTAGTGTGACTTTAGATAGCGGTTGCCTGACTATCAGCTTTGCTGTGCAGTTGTGTAACCAAGCATCTGTAGCTTGTGATTTGGGATTAGTGAAGCTTTCCATTTCTTCTTATTCAGCTAAAGATATCCCACCACTGTCAAGTGTTGCAGGTTAAAAATGTTTTGTATTGTGGGTACATGTTATGTTGGCCACATTCAAAAAGGGCTTGCTGGGATCCAATGGGCTCCTTTACAGTAATGACAATGCAAGTAACAATAAATGACCAATTGGCATACAACATGGTGGAAATATTTGCCTTAATTAATATTTGGTTGCTGGGAAGCAAATTATGCTCTCATACATGAAGTGATATAGCCATACAGCTCAGTGTTCCCCCTGTACAGCAGTCTTTTGATGTGCACGTTTTTTTTTTTACCCAGCTCTGGTTTACGAGCATTGAATCATATGATGTTCTCTCAACACTGTTAAAATGGATATTTGCTCACAAATAGTTTACCATGTTTTTGGTAAATGTATAAATTATGTTTACTTATAACAAGCCCTTGTAAGTGAAAACATTTTGAGAAGAGTAATTGGCAGTGGGCCATTAGCAAGTAACTCAATAAGCTGCTCATCTGTCCATCCTGTTCTGCTCATTCACACAGTCAGCACCCTGCACTGGTCCTTCTCAATGCTTTATGGAAATCACCCTGCCATTTTCCATTTTGCAAATAATGATTATTCTAGTAATGTTGCAGTGGAAATGGGAAGTATATGTTGCACAGTAATTTCCCACTGCTGACCTTTCTAGTTTAATTAGTTTGCTTCTTTCTTTGACAGTTTTCTACTGTTTGTCCCTCAGACTTTGTCTAAGATACAGCCCTTGTTTGACTAAGTTTAATCTATGCAAACTGTGCTAGCTGTCTCTACTTTTGAACATAAAGTTTATTTACTGTAGCATTGAAAAGAATAAGATTAATGGTGTGTTTGCAGATGGGCAGAGTTTGCCCTTTATTTCACTTCACCAGTGGGTCTGTGGGGACTTGAATTTGTGAATTTCCTATCTGCTCACCCCAAGTGTGTAATGTGAGTTAACTGAGTTCTTTTATAGCTTGAAATCATAATTGCTGCTTGTTCTCTCTTGCTGTCCCTCTCACTCACTTTTTATCAAGACAAAACATGTAAATTTCCAGTGCCAAAAATCTACCCTGCAGAAGAGTTTGGTTTTGAAAGGATTGATGTCTGTGTGCAGGAAGCCTGGTGTGATTGTAAGCTCAGGAAGCGGTATGGCCCCAACGTGCTGCTACATCAGCAGCATGTGCTGTTATATGTGCCACAGGAAGTGGCAGAGAGGTCGCTGTCTGCCTCTCTCTCTTTGCTTTTACTTCTAGAGAGGCAAAGACATTGTCATTGTGTGAGAGTGCCTAGAGATTCATGTTCAGACTTGATATATATTGTTTGGGTTACTTTCTTGACTACCTACAATGACTGTTCTAAGAATAAAGGTAGTCTTTGCTTTTGCTTCAAGGAAAGCAAAGCAAAACCCATTAACCCAGTTAATGACCTTTTGTATAAATTTTTACCCTGAGAGATTATGTTGCTGGTTCTGAAACAAACTTAAGTCCTCACAAGTAGATTTGACATTGCTGACACAGTCAAAGGATTTTTGGAAGTTGTTTGACCTTTTCCTTTTTCATTTGCAAGTGTTTAATTGTTTAGGGGTCCTAGCAGGGGCATGACTACCTAGCGCAGAACAACCTTCTCCCCTCTTAGCTGTGGTTGTTTAATGGGTGGAGTAGGAATCCACTATGTAAACACATTCCTTATGAAGGTGGAGGCGTTCCCAGGAGGAACACCACTCACAATGTCTCTTTCTAGAGAATTGCTCATGGCAGGAAGTAACCCCACTTGGACTCTGTGTTACTGAGTAAGCAGGCCTCTAACAGGGACCAGAGCGTGACAGAGGTGGGGAGGTGTCACTGACTCTAAATTTCCTGGATAATAGTAATCAATGGTAAGATAACAGATATGACTTTATCTTAACAACTGAGCCTGTCTGGTTATCCTGTACCTCTGACATTTGATTTGTTAAAAAGGTGTGGCGTCAGAAGCACCATCGGAGTGATAAAGTGATGATGGTGCAACTTGGCATAAATGCTGATTGGATAGTGGGCCATGAAAATTAAGAATAGACATTTTCTGTGATAAAAGGTACTTAACAAAATTATTGAAGACTGTTTAAAAGATTAAAAAAAAATCCTTTTTGTAGGGACTTAGAGCAGCAACATAAAATATGGTGCATAGCCTCTCCTCTCTTTTGAGACTTAACACTGCCAGTTTTCTCTCACCCTGGAGCGGCTACAATATGCAAATGAAGCTGAGTTTTGCTGGCTGGGCTGCTCTGATGTACAATGGTGACTAGGTCATAATTATTTTACTGTGCAATATGTGATACTATTCTCTGATACACTATGCTACCCAGTAGACATTATGTGAAAATAGGTAAGCTGAGCAATGGTTTGATTAATTTGTTAATCTTTGTGTTACAGGGGGTTGTGGGTTACTGTAGGAGCATTGTGTCACTGGGTACCAGATTTTTCAGAATCCACTGAACATTGTACACCACAGTCTGGATCTCAGATGGCCTTGTTTATAATGTGATTCCTCATTTTGCATTGCCCCTTACCGACACAGATAAATAAGATGGAGTAAATGAACAAAAACCAAATAACCAGTATCAGA